CTCGCGGCCGTGTTGGTGAGCTTGGCCCGGGCCTCCTCCCAGCGGGGGCCGCGGCGCTCCCACTCGAGGAGCCAGGAGGAGGCGAGGGAGGACCAGTCGGTGCCGAGGCCGACGGCGACGGAGGCGTTGGGGGTCGGGACCCAGCCGTCGGTGCGGACCTTGCGGTTGGGGTCGAGGACGCCGTAGGTCCTGTCGGCGTCGAGGATCTCGGCGACGACCTCGCCGGTGCGCTCGTCGCCGCCGGAGACGAAGTAGAAGGCCTTGCGGTACTGCGGGGTCGAGATGCGGGCCTGCTTGGCGCTGTCGCCCCAGTGCTGGACGCCGTGGCGGGTGCCGAGGCCCTTGAGGCCGCCGAGGTGGTAGACGTCGACCTCGCCCGAGTGGCGGACGAGGGCCTCGGCGAAGCGGTAGACGTCCTCGCGGCCGGTGCGGAGGAAGTAGTTCCAGAAGAAGAGGTCGGGCGAGAGCTCCGAGTTGTCCCAGGCGTAGCCGCCGACGTCGTAGCGCCACTGGTGGCGGTCCGCGTCGTAGGTGTGGATGAAGTCGCCGTGGTCCCAGAAGCCGTACCACCGGCGCTGCTCGACCTGGCCCTCGTAGAACCTGAAGAGGAAGTCGAGGTGCTTCTCGATGTCGGCCTCGACGCCCGAGGGCGACGGCGAGGGGGGCGCCCAGTAGTTGCCGAGGGCCTTGGTCTCGGCCAGGCGGGCGGGCTCGCCGTAGAGGACGGGCGGGTTGTTGGTGTGCTCGGTCAGGTCGGCGAGGAGGGTGCGGTTGGGGGTCGACTCGAAGCCGTAGAGGAACAGCTCGTTGGTGCGGGCGACGCCGTACGGGTTGTTGAAGCCGGGCTCGTAGTCCTCGTACGTGATCTCGAGGGCGTCGAGCTGCTTGGCGTACGTGTCCTGGCCGAGGCCGTCGTGGTAGGGGCGCAGGTCGAGGGCCGGCGCCGCGGGGCTGTAGATCCAGACGGTGATCTCGCCCGTGTCGGTGGCGGCGTCGGTGATGTCTATGCCGGTGGGGTATCGCTTCCAGAAGTTGCGCAGGCCGACGGCGAGGCCGCCCTTGGTGGCGCCGCCGAGGTACGCGAGACCGCCGGCGCGAGTGCCGCCGGGGATGTTGACCCAGCTCTGGCCGGCCTTGGTGCGCTTCTTCAGGGTGAAGCCGTCGGGGGACAGTTGCGTCAGGCTGAAGTCGCTCCAGGTCGGGATCCAGCGGAGCCTGGTGGTGACTCTCTGGTCCCACGTCGCGGGGTCGGGCAGCTCGGCGCCCTCGAACTGGTCGGTGCGGACGGCGGCGCCGGGGTCCCTGCGGAGGCCGGTGATGCCCTGAACAGCCTCGCTGAGAAGGCCGCCGTCGATGCCCGAGATTCTGACGTGGCGGTTATAGTGCTCCTCGCCCTCGAGGGGGACCTCGAAGCGGATGCCGAGGCCGGAGATGAAGTCCTCGTCGGCCTTGCCGTCGTAGATGACGGTGTGCACGATGCGGACGGCCTCGGAGTTGCGGTACAGGTAGAAGCGCAGGACGAAGGGGAGCCAGTCGGCGTGGCCGCCGCCGCCCTGGACGGTGTGCTTGCCGCGGACGGTGACGAGGGCCCGCGCGGTGGTGTCCTTGCCGACGGTGACCTCCTCGACGTTGCTCTCGAAGTCGAAGTGGGCGATGCCGGCCTGGCCCTTGAGCTCGGCGCGGTCCTCGACGCCGGACTGGGAGTGGAGGACGAGCCTCCCGTTCTGGCCGATGGTCTTGCCGGAGGCGGTCTTGATCTCGCCGACGACGACGTTGCCGGACTTGGGGAACGTCACGGCGAGCTTGCCGGTATCCACACTGACGGCGTCCGAGGAGTCGGTTACAGTCAGGCCGGTGGGCTGCTGCTGCTGCTGCTGCTGCCGTCTCGCACGGGAGAAGCGGGCTGTCGAGTTGGCCGACGATGAGGCGCTGACGGTGTACTCATCCAGGACGGTGTCGGCCTCGGGGATGGCGTGGCCGGTCCACTTGATGGAGCCGTCGGACCAGTAGGCCGTCACCCAGGACTGCAGCGGGCCGCCGCCGGAGACGGTGAACTCGGTCGAGTTGGCAAAGTGCTTGCCGCGAGCCCAGGGCAGGCCAAAGGTCGTGCCGGCGCTGTACGAGGGCGTGCGGCCGAGCCACCGGACGGTGGCGCTGTGGCTGCCGGCGGTGCCGTTGCCGAAGCCCTGGGCGTCGCCGGACCCCAGGAGGCCGGCGAGGGCGACGAGACTGACAATGATTCGAGACATGTCTTGGAACGAGCGAAAGGACGAACGAACCCTGATTCGAGTCTGGTCGTTGCAGCGTCAGAATCGTTGCTTGGAGTGCGGTCGCATCATCCTTCTAATACAAGAGAACAAAAGGTATTACTCGGGGCAATGCGCCGCGAACTGCATGTCACCCACCTGGTCTGGCGCGTCGGCTCCTGGTTGCTGCGCAGCACCGCCTGTGGATGGCATCATCTGGCGCGAGGGTCTGGACTTATGATGGGCACGAGGGGGCCATGGGCAACAATCTCTCTGGGGGTTTCGCACGCAATCGAGCTCGATGCTACGCTGCTGATGGCCATTCAATCTGCGGGTTAGATTAGGACCAAGGAGTCCCCTCTTCAACCTGAGTCGGTACCACGGATCGGTAGAGAGGGGTTCAATCTAAGTTTCTGGTTATGTAGCTGGAATACAATGCGGCAAGTTACACAGGGGAGCTCCCATCCTTCAGTGAAATCGCACCAATAACCAAACGACGGGAACCAGGGGGAAGAGCACGCGTCCCAAGTCTGTCAAGGGCAGAATGACTTGGTCACTTCTCTGCCGGGGCAATTGGGCCGGGACGCAGGTCCCGCAGACGTCCTGTTCGACCGAGAGACCGAGAAGGGTGTGCGAGAGCGGTGCAAGAGGCCGGCTCTATCGCGATCCAATGGCGAAAAGCCAAGCAGGATGCGGGGTTGACGGCGAGCGTGAGCACTCCGGCCGGGACAGGGAAGCGAGATTAGCCGTGCAAGGTATATGCATATATCTAAAGTGACGGGACGCAGGGGGAGTCCGTTGCGGGAGGCGGCTAGTTAGGGATGGTTAATTCACTCTATTGCGACCTCAGCACGTCATATCGCACCATGCGGCACCGGGGCAAAGAGGATTCCAACGATGCTCAACCAAGTCGTGACCGCAAAGAAGCACACCTCGGACCAACGCCAAGTTCTTGTAGATACAGCAAGCCCATAGCACGTGGCTTTCATGGACTGTAAAGAAGTCTCGCAGGACAAGGCATCGACCGGCTCGGCTTGTTGATAGATAACCGGCAAAGGTTAGCCGAGACTTGTCTCGTGGTGTGGTTCATTGGTAATAATGCCTCTGGCCGATAGCCGTGTTACAAATCGATGGAACCGATAGAATCCGCGTGTACACCTAGAGCCAGGTCGCAGTTCCTAATTATCCCGCCAGCTTTTGGCATTACACCTACACCCCTAAGGATATGGCTAGGATGGACTAGTGTGTGGAAGACGCCAAGGTTAAGATGTAGGTGTTGGTATGATGTAGGGTGGAAAGCAAACTGCAGGTCTTTACACCTAAAGAGGACTATGTTTTCAAGTCCTAAACCAGAGGACCCTTTAGTCTAGAACTGGCTTTTCCCCGTAGCGCTTCACATAATCCGCAAGTGCTTTGAGGGTGAAATGAAACTTATAAAGCGGATATCGGTAGCCGCAAGGCGGCACGTAGATGCCTTCCATAGTCCCCGGTAACCAATATCCCGAGGGTTGCTGGGATTCAGCAATGAAGGCAACCGCATGGGAAATGTCCGCATGGTCGCAGCACTGGGCCGCAATTAGCCTTGAAATAACATTGGCAGTGTTGGGGATTTGACTTCCTTTGGGCTCCACGACGTAGTACTTGGCCTTGGAACTATCCAGAGACTTTCCCCAGCCGTCATCGTATTCTGATGGCTGAGAAGAAATGCACACGCCTTCCTGACCGGTTCACAGCTCTTCTCCGACCGCCCAGCACAGGCGAGGGCTTGCAATGCAGACATTGTAGCGTAGGTAAAGCAAACTCCCCAGCTGCCCAGCCAACCTCCCTCGGGATATTGGGCGCGCATAAGGTACCGGGCGCTGCGTTCGATGCACTGATTAATGTCGCCAGTACAGTACTTGGGGTACCGACATTGAGGCGCTGAGCATGCCAATCAATCTCGGAGTACGGTTTCGGTTATAGTTCCTTTCGCAGTGACTCAGTAAGGGCTGTCTCCGGTGCTTTGAACCGATGCCCGTAGAGATAGCTTATGCTGATGAACATGTTGCGCAGAGGCATCCACCAGTTGGCCGGGCTCATCGGGAAGTAAGAGGGCACGAGCAGTACTTCGGGGGGAAGCGGCACCATGCCCTCCCACTCGTACAGACCGAGCACGCAGAGCCAGAATTTCCCCCAGGTCTGTATGCCAAGCACTCCTCCAAGCGCGGAGAGGACCTCACGTGCTCTGGCGAACACTGGGTGTGGCATTCGAGGAGTACGACAAGGCCCACGGCGCCCGGCGGGACTTCATTGCCAAGCTACGCGAACGGCTCGGCAACCTCGGTCTGGAGTTTGCCGTGGGGGGAGGCAAACATCTTTGACGTCTTCCCGACTGGCTGGGATAGCACCTAATACTGTCTACGGTACCTCGAGAACGAGGCAAAGAACGGCGGCGTCAAGTTTGACGAGATTTCTTCGGTGACAAGACGACGAAAGGGGGAAACGATTACGAAATCTACGTTGATGAGCGCACCATAGGCCATTCCGTCACGGGTCCTCAGGATATGATGCGCATTCTGGGGGAGATGTTTGACATTTGAACCTGCGAAAGAACGCAGGCTTTGATGTGCACAGTCGAGTCTCGTGTAACTTGATACAGATCAATTCAAGAGCGCGACTTAGACCTGCATTTGGAGCTTGGGACTGCTCGTGACGTCTTGTTCCCTGTGTCGTCTCCTTGTGAACGCTTTTCCGGTCCGGAGCCAACCATCAAATGGTTTCGTGGTGTAGTTGGTTATCACGTCAGTCTAACAACCTCGAGAGCTTCGCCTATCATCTGTTCCACTGAAGGTCTCCAGTTCAAACCTGGACGAAATCATTTCTTTTGGCTTTTATTCTTTATTTTGCACACTGCCCCGGAGGTGGAAAGGAGCAAGCCGGCGGAGAAGCTGTATGGGGAGCGTGGAGAAGACGAGCACATCATGAAACGACGAAGCTTTTATAAGCACGAAGTTCTTGCATTCGAACGGTCCAGATTCAGTTCTGTCGGTTTCCTACCTACTTACAGCACCTTCTTTCTGACGCTGTGCTTCTGGTTGTCTTTCTAGAAGGTTTATTAGTCTTATCAGACTAGGCACCATAACTACCGCTTACAGCTCGCATGTTTCGGGCATTGCCTTCACCTAGGTATGATAATTTAGTGGATTCCTGGAATCAAAAACCCGCCTTAGCAACTTCGTGTGTATCGTGTGACGCTTTGTGAAAAAAGACCTAATGGTATTCTTTGCAGCCCGGTCGAATTGCGGGTTCCACGTCTTGAGATGCAGGTGGCCTTTGAATGCCCGTCCCAAGTCGATTCGAAAGTCCCTGTTGTCCCACGCATTTTTCGTGTTCTTGACGCAGCCAGCCTTGGCTTTCAGCGTTTCTTACATCCCCCTGCTGTATTTCGCAAGCGGTATTCTCATCATCTTCTCGGAGATCCTGGGCTGCCCGTTGGAGGGGCCCTTCCCAGTCACTATCACTACCGCCCCTTAGGTCTAGGTCTTCAGCTCTGACTGTGACACTGATATCCGTAATCATGACGGTCCCTCTCAAAGTTGCACAGCTGAAGAACCAAAGGGAAAGCTTTGCCACGGGTAGATTGATGCATGTCTACGAGAGGTCCGGCTGCGGTACCTGGTAGTTATAGTTGCAGTAAGGCAAGTCTTGTCGATGCATCGCGGACCGAGGCGGCCGAACCGGCCAGAGTTCTTGAAGCAAGCTAGCTGCACGGTCGTAACGTCGGGTAGCAGTAGTATGTGCAATATAAGGCAGCGTCGCCGTTCACTATACGACCTCAGAGAGCAGTCACGGATTATACTCAGCACGCTAGTCTTGTAGCAGTTTGGTGATTCGATTGATCTGGAGATAGAGGTTTCTACAAAAGGGATGGTAGTGCAACATTGGTCCCCTCCAGAGCGCCTTTGGCACTACGCGTAGTCGCAACCCACAGGAGTTGTAGTAACTGATTTTTGAGTTAGAAAGAAGCATATACCAAAGGGTGAAGGGGTGTATATACCTGTCATCAGAACCACAGTTGCTTAGCAGGCAACCTTTTGGCATCCATTGGCATCACAGCAGACGTTGACGTTCTGATAGCATGTACCGCAGTCGCGTTTACCAAGGCTCAGAGAGCCGCCTGCGATGTCTTGGTCCTTCGGGAACGGCGTAGCAGCTACCGCTGCGATAAGCGTGAAAAGTGTCAGAAGTCTCATTTTGACGTATTGAAAAAGGTGGATTAGATCGTGGTAATTGACTCGAACCAGCAACGGTATCAAAGGTTGAGTTGCTTAATTTGGTGATGGATGTTTCGTGTGAGAACAGATGGTCTCGGCTTGAAATACCGTGCGGGAATTTGACTTATATGTGTGATTTTATAAATCCTATCTATAGCCAAGACGGACATCATATGACGTATGGCTAGAGAACTTTATCTCACGCAAATTACTTGAGATAATAAAGGCCCATCCAATTAAATTAGACAATCACCTAGCTGTATCAAAGCAGGGTGAGAGAGTCATGAACCAGTGCTTTTTAGAAAGCTTAACAGGCACCACTAGTATGACTTTAGGATCTTGCCAAAGTAACAAAGTGGAGGTACCCCCGGGTGACTTAAAAGTCTGCTAAATACCCTGGCAATCTAACGGATGACTCGCGGCCTGTAGATCATGAAGTACGGAATACACCGCAATGATCCCAGGTCAAATCGACATATGCGTATGTAGCCTACTGCTTAGTATATCGCGTACTGGCCAATATGGAAAACCTTGCGAGACGGGGGATAGGTTGCTATTTTCTAGTCCGAGTTGGCTTCCTGGTAATATGACGCAGACCTCATGGGTGGACGCGTATGGCTACGTTTCGCATAGGAATACTTTGCTCGTTTCTCTACCAGTCTCGGCTCCTAGGTCTAGAAGTCTATCCAACTTTTCCCATAAGGCTTCGCGGGGAACCCAAGAAGCTTCTGGCAAGTTTCCTGCATCCCGCCTGGGTAGATTACGATAACGGTAACGACGGAAGTTTAATAATGCGTTTAACTAAGATGTCCGCATACTATTTATTAACAGCTTAACAGCCGTCATATAGCGGCTCTACCTGCGCAGCTACAGAAATACGAATACAAGGTGGGTCTCCCATAGGGTCGCACAGGTGCACAATATGGCCTACACTATTGGATACATAGTAAAAGTACCATGCTCACTAGTTGGCGCAATATTTATTATATGCCTCTGTGTCTATATGGACAGAAGCATATTGCTATGGAATCTTGCAGTTTAACCTCCTTTATCGACCAAGGCAGCTTTCAACTGTGCGGCTACGAGCGAGATCTCATTCCTCTGGTCCATCGTACTGTGTGGATTTACCTTGATAATATCAGCGCCCGCGATATCCGCCCCGTACCTATGGCCCTCGTAGCAGCCGAATGGTATCCCTGCTAATGAATCAGCTCATTTCTGGCGATTCTGTGCCGGGTACTAGTCCTGGACCCATGAAGTGAAAGTCGAAGCCGAGGTCGACCTGCTCTTTGACCCGCTTGATAATGCCATCGGTGCCGACGACATCAACTCCGTCCGAATTGCTCCGAATGATCCGCATGACCCCTCGAGCATCTTTAACAAGAATACCTTATCATGTGTGTAGGGACCGGACGACCTCGTATTTAGGCCAACGTGAGCCGAGCAGCCGTTCGCAATGGGGTCGAACGGGACCAGCGGAATCTATCCACAGTCAAGGGCCGTCAAACCTGCCTCGTATGGATTAGCACGCGGGTTCCGAAAACACCGTCTGTACCTCGCTCAAGCTTGCAGTACTAACTGGCGGTGTCTTTTTGGAACCCGCGTGGTTGGCACCAGCTCTCGCATTCCACTTGCCATCAGGGTATCGTTAGTTGAGACCCCAGGACGACAGACTTATCATGATTCAGAACCAATTAATAACCCACACTCAATCACACCGATGAGAAATCCTTCCGCCGCTTCCCGGGCCGGTTGCCTCGAGAAGTCCTAGAGAACCAAGCATATCGTGAAGGGAACCCGGTCGCCAGCCATTCAGGAGTTTCCCGAATCATGGAATACGCAACATCTCCTTTCGAGAGTGATTACGCCCTGGAAGCAATCGACATCATAATCAGTCCGTAAGGCCCATGTAGTTGCGGCTAAAAGTCATATTATTTTAATTGATATTAAAACTAGTTAATAGTCAGTTGAACTGAGTAGTAGTAGTTATACTAGCTTTATTCATGTCGCAAAAACGACGCCGTTAATTGCGGGCAGCAATCAACGCCTTATATCACATCACCCTACTGCGACGGTTTATATACAGTTAGGAAAGGGAGGTGGTTAGTAAGTAGGTATATTAACTTAGTGCTATATGTATTAATATTGGTGGATTTAAACGTTTTTAAAGTAACTGAATACATCAATATACATCGGTCCCATTCGCCGCATATTGGTCCGCTTCGTTGCATAATTCCATGTCTCGGTAGCACAGAACCGTGTAATTCTCTCATTGGACTGGGCCATCGCACACGGCTGGGCAGGAAGTAGCCCTCTATTGGCTCCACTCCGCTTTGAGAGCCGTCAAGTTCAGATTCACTAGACATCGTTGGAAGATGATGAGCGCGCGGTTGTCTTTAAGGCGTGTAGTTGCGTTGGATGGACGTACCTGGGATCAGTAGAAGAAAGCGTTAGTTATCGGTCTACGCAGGTGGGATGAGGTTGATGCCTCTGCTATGCATGTCTAAGCTCCCATTCGATAACTGGGGTCAGAAAAGGCCTATACGAGTCACTCGCATCTTGCTGCCTCACTTTGGGTCTAGGACGGGCGTACATCTGCGGGAGGCCGTTGTTCGCCTTGTCGTTTGGGGGCTCAATCACCAGTCGATTGTCTGAACCCCCCTACAACTTGGTGAGGTGTGATGCATCACCGTCGTAGGTTTCTTGAGCGAACGCGGCGGAAGTGGACGAAAACGTAAGTCTTTCTCAATTAAATACCCATGTAATATACTCGTGCGTCTCTCGAAACATGTTCGGCCCTCGTCTCACTCAATCGTCCGCTCATTTCTTCGACTTGTCGTCATCGGCCTCGTCCGCCGTCTCCAGGACACCGGTCGCCGCCGCCATCTTGGCTACCTCGTTTCCCTCCCCTTCGGGCCCTTCGGGGCCCTTGGCGGCCTCCTGCTTGCCGCTCTCGGTGCCTTGAACCTCCTTCGTACCAGCTTCGGCGCCTGAATCCTGCCTCTCTTCGCCCTCGGTTTTCGCATCCGCGTCGGCCTTGGCGTCCTCCTTCTTGTCGTCCTCCTTCTTGTCGTCGCCCGCCGGCGTGGACTTCCTCCAGATGTTCACGCTCGGCATCGAGACCTGCCCCAGAGACGACACGGAGGTCGGCACCTTGGGGATGGACGGCATGTTGGGCATGCTCGGCATGCTGGGCATGTTGGGCATCTTGCCGGGCAACCAACCCCTGACGCCCGTGCCGGTCGACTGCGCGATCTGGAACAGGTGCTGCATGTACGACCGCTTCTCCTCGGTCGTCATGCTCTCCGCGCCCACGTCCCCTACCAGGTCGCCCTCGCCGTCCGACGGCAAGGGCACGAGGGACGCGGCGGCGGCGATGTCGATGGGCGACTCGTCGGGCAGCGCCCCACCGTCCGACGACTTGTTGGACGCATCCTCCCCGTCACCGGCCTTGTCGTCTGACGACGCCTCGGGCGCCGCCGCCTCCGTGTTGGAGATGGCCTTCTCGAGCGTCTCCTCGACCTCGTGGTCCTCCGCGGCCTCTTCGGGCGGCGCGTCGCGGAACTTGGGGTCGTCGACGAGCGGCTCGTCGCTGTTGAACCAC